GGGAAAAGAAAAAAGAGAACAGAAGGAAAAATGGAAGCAAAGCTTTTGTAAATAAGGAGGAGAAGAGGGGTTGAAGGGAGGGGAGGGGAATGGGAAAAAAAGAAGAATCAAGATCTACCATGTACAGGTACAGATTCCCTGGGATGAACATATGTAACACTATGTACATCTAAAATGTACCAATAAAATTAACTTTTCAAGAGCTTGTGAAAGATGAGCTTATGAAAACGGAGTATGTAGCTCACTTCATCATTCCCATCCATCCTATATGTTGTAGTTATGATTATTCTTAGTAATAGTTCTATGGGTCACTTAGGACATTTTAAACATTTCGAGAGCACCATCCCTTCCTTATTGTGTCGATGTTTGCTACGATCTAGTCACCTCCCAGTGAAGGCATTGCCTCCTGCTTCCTTCACTCCAACTTCCTTACTCCTTTTCTCTTCTAAGTCTAGTTGTTACATCTTTAATCTAACAACATATACTATGTACTAGAAACAATTCTCTTTAATGTCTGGCATATAAATTGACTACAAAAAATTAAATAAAAAGCATCTATGTCGTGAGGACTAATATCACTTACCACAAGCCCAAGGAACATGCCGGCTTACATATGCTGCTCACCTGTCCCCTGCTGCCAAGCTGCTCAACCCCAAGGACGGAACTTGTTACCCCAGCCAAACAGATACTCTGATCGTGTGGCAGCAACCATTTCAAATGCTGTCACTTTTTTTTTTGCTTTCTACGTGGACCACGACTTTATTGAACCTTTAGGGTTTGGTTTGGAGGGCCTAGGACAGGAGGTGTTTAATCATCCTGTTTCCCCCTCGCAAACAGAAGAAGCATGTGCTTCCAGTATATCCCGAAATCTGCCCTCGACCGTATAACAAAATCTACTTTTTCCCAGAAATGCTTCTACAGGCAGTGTGACAGGCAGTGTAGGAAGAGGTTTTCCTACTTTTTGTATCTAGTTTAATCACCGTAACTTCTTTCTTGGTCCGTTGCCTTCCCAAAGGGCATCATGGTAGGTAATTTCGAATCCTTCTATGTCTAAAAATGTCTCTTGTCTCTATTCTAGTCTAATACTTGATTGATTGGTTAGGTCTGGAAGTTTTGTATCAAAATAACTTTTCCTCAGCACTTCAAAGGATTGCTCAATTGCATCCTAACACCCAGTGTGGCAGTCAAAAATCCTAATGTCCCCTGACTTTCAGGGAAAGGCTTTGTTGGTGAAACTTTCCTCGGGTCATAGCTCTACCCCACGTGTTCTGAAATTTCACTGTGAATGTGTCTGTGTGGTATCATACTTCATACCCCTTAATGAATGCTCAGCTCTGGGAAATTTTCTTGTTATCCAACCCTCTCTATTCTCTGCTTTCTATTTCTAGTATTCCTGGTAATTTGATGTTACACCTTCCAAATTTATCATATCTCATCTGTTGCATTGTGGTGATTCAGGTTCTACTTGACATTTTAGGAGTCTTACATTTTAGCAATCATTTATAATTTTGGAGAATAATTTCTGACTTTCTCATCTTTTCTCATGGAAACTAGCTCTAATTTTATAGATGTGACATTTTCTCAAATGCAAATATCAATATTAACACAACAGAAATTTTTCTGTTCCCTAAATTCTTTTTCTTCAATGATGTGTGTGTGTGTATGTTGTGTGAGTGTGTGAGTCGGCATAATGTTGCTATGACAAAATAACTCAAAATATCAGCTTAAAGGAGGAAAGGCCTATTTGGCTTCCAGCTTCCAGACTTTCAGTTGACACACATTTGGTTCTGATATTTCTGGGCTTGTGTGAGGCAGCACATGATGCTGAGGATCCTGTGACTGAGCAAAGCAGCTCACTGGGTGGTGGACAGGAGGCAGCAAGAACAGGAAGCCAGCCAGACAGGCAGAGCCTGGGGTCAGACAGCACCCTCACCCTGCCTGCGTCAGCTGCCGATGAGGCTGTGGGATTCTCATCACCTGCAGACTGATCCACTGACAAAGTCAGACAACTCGGGATCCAACCCATGCCCCCCGCCACAGTGCTGTGCTGGGGACTAAGTCTCCACACAAGAGCTTCCAGGGGATATTTTAGATCTGAACAATACCAACATATTTTACCTATGTACTTTACATATATATGTAAAATATATTATTCACAGATAGGTATATACATTTGCTTATCTTGCCCATTTTCTTCCTGCTCATTTTCCCACAGTGGTTATACCCTGAATGTTCATTTGTGCGTAAGAATGAAGGTCTGGGTGTATCCTGTGGGGCAGGCAGGAGTTTCTGCGGTGCTGTGTTTAAGTACACCTTTCCCTGGGGCATGAACAGCCATACCCAATGTGGTCAGCGACAGGGTTATGGGCTCGGCAGACTTTAATGTGGAGGGGCGTTCTCAGTCCCAGAGTGGAGACAATGCTTCTCTGCAGCTTTCAGTGTCTCCGGACAGATGAAGTTCCTCGGAGCCAGGTTCTTTCGTACCACGAAATGAATCAAAAGCGATACAGTCATTGGGCCGCGCTGACTACTCCAGCCGCAGAGGACTCCCAGTGCCCTCTCACTGCAGCCCTTCACTACCACGCCACACAGACCAACCTCCGGCCGCGACTTCAGCTTCCTGTCCTCCACACCTGCCAGCCTGGGCCTGGACCCTCTTTCCTTCCTTTTCCCTGGGTCACGAGTGAGCAGCCCTCCTCCTAGCCTCCCTTTTCACATTTCTGTGTTCTGTTGTCTAGAAATCTGTGCAACTGTCATCTGCTGATGACCTCTGCCTTCCTTTCCCTTGGTTGTTACAAATGTCTGTCCTAGCTACTTTACTGTTATTTCAGTGGGACTAGGGATGGAAGACAAGTAAATGAGCATGCTTGGCTGGGTGTGGTGGTGCATGCTTATAATTCCAGCACTTGGGAGGCTGAGGCAGGAGGATTTCCATGAGTTGGAGGCCAGCCTGAACTACAGAGTGAGTTCAAGGTCAGCCTGAAGTACATAGCAAGACCCTGTCTCAAAAAAACAAAAACAAAAACAAAAAATGCTTGGCCCACCATCTTGAAATCTCAGACGCAAATACACTATGTATTTCCAGGCAATTGTGATAACTCTTCTATTATACTTTCTCCATGATTTATTTCACTTCAAGATAGACATTATTCTAAGGTTAAAGATTGGAGTCATAAAATTATTATTAATTTCTCCTTAACCTTAATCCCTACATGTAACTGATAGTCATGAATCCTGTCTCTTATACCCTACAAAGGTTTTGAAGCCTGTTTCCTATTTAACATTCCCACTGTCCACACAGAAGTGGTAGACTGGTGTGAGGCTGCTTAAGAACTGAGTTCTGATCCTCACAAACCTGCCGGCACTGCTGGGACAGCTCCCAGCAGTTCCTCTGCCCGTGGCTTCCCCCATCTGACTCCTCCTCTCACTAACAGATCTCCTCTCCTGCTGACCCCTGAAGATCTAATTCTTATCATCTGCCATGTGTGTCCTGATGAGCAGGGCATGAGCCCAAGCTCTCAAGCTTATTAGCTTGGCCTTAGGGCCCTTCCATGTTCAGTCCTCCTTCTTCTGCCCTAACCTTCTTCTCTTTCTCCTTAAAAACTTCAGGTTCCAGCTGAGCTAAATTCTTTTCCAGGACTTTAATTTGTTCTGAAATTTCCTACCCTTATGTCCTTAGTTTTCTTATTTAAAAACCACGTTCCTCTCCCAGAGAAGGTGTTGTCAAGTTTTCCCCCATATTTCAAGAACCAACTTAAATGCCTACTCATTTCTGAAACATTCCTTGATCTTTCCAGCTGGAATCAATTTCTTTTTTTCCCTGTTGTATCATAATGTTATTTTACACTTCTCTTATAATCTTGCCATATTCTGACCTATTCAATAGTCATTTATATACCTGTATTTTCTCCAACATAAACTAGTTAGGTATACAATACAGACTGGAAATTCCTCGAGAATAGAAATCATGACTCCTAATTTTTATTCCCTTGTAACACTGAACATGGTGCCTGTTACATGTAGTAGACAATCAATAAATACACTGTGGGTGGAGGTAGATAAACCATCTGATAAAAAGTTACTGTTATAACTTTCAATAACTTTTCATTGTTCAAATTTATTACCCTAACAGTGAAAGCTCTCCACCTTATAGCCCCAAATTATTTTCCCACTCTTCTCTCCCAGGCATCTTAATTCATGCTTAATTGTTCTACTAAGAGACTGTATCCATTCCCACTACCTGACTGTGTTTATGATTCACACGAATGGTTCAAAGTGCTTCTCAGAAAGCCATTAAATAAGGTGTAGCCATCCAACCTACAGTGTTTCCTTCTGCTAACTTCATTTGGCAATTTTCACGTCAACTTCAATCTTTCTCATTACCTAAATTTAATTACTATCAAGTATCTTCCCTAGATAAATCACGTGTTTTTTTAATTGCCAAAGCAGTTTGTACATGGCACACCTTAGGTAATACTTAATTTAATGAAGATTGCATCATTTATTCAGATTAATCAGCAGTAATATGATTGCAATACATCCAAAGATATTAATTACATGATTTTCAAATATGCTTTAATATTTTCAACTGCAATTTATTAACATGAACTACATTAATGATGAATAATACGTAAATTATATACTAACTAGTCATTTAATGTATTTAAGAATAAGTCATTTAAATGGGCTAAGTATATCCTATCATGTTCATAATATATATATATATATATATATATGCTTTACTTATGTCCTACAGTTCATCAATATCAAATGACTAGACAGATAAAACTAAAGCTTGTAGTGAAATAAATAATGGAGAACAATCTCTTCTCTTTTCAACACATTTCTATAGATCATTCTGAGGATAATTTTAAAACTGATCTAAACTCATTTTGACAGAAACATTTCACACAAAGAAACAAAACTTTACTGCAAAATAAAGATATATTGCCATGTACTTTCATTATACTCCGGAATCTTGTCATCTCAGCCAAAACAAGCTATTTATTCTTGTTTATTTTTTTTCAGAATTTTACATCCACCTTACAAATGTATTCTTACCTTGTTTTAATTATCCTTTTTTCACAACCTGCTCTCACATTTCACGTTCTGTTTATTATAGTTGACAGCTAGTTCTGTTCCTCTTCTGTTTTGGACTGAACTTTGATTCTGCCTCTGTGGAATCTCAAGCCTATGGTCTTTTCCCTCCATCCACTCCTTTGCATCGGGCACTGTCAGTATCCTGAGAAACCTAATCCCCGGTCATGGCTTCAGGGAGCTTCACTCCTGTGGGAAAATATACTCACATTGTCGTTAAGATTATAATTCTAGCTGGGTGTTGTGATTAGACAAAAAACATGAATTAAATCTCTAAATATGAATTACTGGAGAGAAGGAACATGGACATAACAGAACTTGACTTTAGTTATATAAGCAGTTAACAAGGTAGAGGCAACATGCAGACGAAAAAACTATGACTGATGTGGGACAGAACTAGATTCCATCCCCCAGGTCTGCCACTAACCAGCTATGTAAGCTTAAGAAAATCATGTCACTCTCCTAAGCTTAGCTTTCTATAAAATAGCAATGTATTAACCAGGGCATTGCTTCTACCTCACAGGAGTCTTAGAAAGACAATAAAGCATTCTGCATAGTGTGTGACAGAGAGTGAGCACATGAAAAATCACTTCTCCAAGGACAAGACAAGCTAAGTGGAGAATACCAGGTCCACACAAATCCAAATCAATAAAACCCAGCAAAATCTGAGAGAACCCACGGCCCTCCAGACCCAATAGGCACTGGGTCCTGACAGAATCCTCCATCCTCTCACTCCCAACCGGAGAGCGTCCTTCTGCCAGTTACAACCCCAGACTGGAATCCACCGGTCAGATAAAGTAGTTAAACTTTTCCTTTGAAGGAAAAAAAAATAATGGAGGTAGGAGAAAAAATATAGCTCTGTTGCTGTCTCAGACAATGTTCTCAGGCAAAGAACCTGACTCACAGCTGGACAACTTCCAGAGAGAAAAATTTCCACTAGAGAGCAATGATAACACATTTTAAAAAATGGGACAAAGTTCTGACCTGGGTTTCCATATTAACGTCTTTGCTGCCTAACATTTCTGTGAACCTAATGACTCATTTTTCTGTCAGATCACTTGGTGAAGGAGACCGTGAAGGGCAGGACCTGGCCTGAGAAGATGGTGACCCAGAGAAGCGTCATCCAGCAGAGCCCATGTTCTCAAGCCCTTCCTGTGTCCACTCTGCCTGGAAGCGCGTGGCTCATCCACGCTGTCCTGGGGTGAGCCTACAATCCACAAAGGGAAATTTACTACGTTGCATCCTCACATCCACCACATGCAGAATTTCATGCACAGTACTGCTGAGGTCATATCAGTGCAGAGTGAGAAGAAGCAAGAAAAAACACCCCAGAATGATCCCAAAACAACATGGCTGATACTTGGCGGAGATAAAAGCACCCGATGGGCACGCAAGCTCGATTAGAGGCACCAGTCCGGCTGGAAGGCTCCAGCTGGAGAAGGTCAAAGGTTAAGAGCCCTGGATCTATTGAGCCCGGCTGTCTGGGAGCAGAGGGAGCATGTCCAGGAGGAGAGAACAGCACTTCGAGAGGGAGCTTGGGGGAGAGCCGCCTGGCCTGCGGGTGGACAACCACACCCAGAAAGGGGGGTGGGGTGAGATCCGGCCCAGAAACCCAAGTGAAGCCAAAGGGCGGCAGAGTCTCCTACAAACAAGATGAGGTGATGAGAGGAGCTGCGACTGCCCAAGGAAGCCAGACAGATACGGGCAGAGAGGCAGATAACTTTCCTAGGAGCATTTCCGATCCTGATCGAGCCGGGGACAAAGGCTGTTCAAATGGCGTGGGGGCGGGGAGAGGGTATTCTCATGGACAATTATAGCTTAAAAGGCATCTTGGAGATTTTGTAGCCTTAAATAGATGAATGGTATACTATTTTCTAGCCAACCACCAAATATAACTTGGTATCTGGAATACAATTTAATATGCATTCCCAGAATAAATTATATCACCCTAGCTATGTATTTCTGCCCTACAGGGCCATGTCCTTTCATCTCCTGATGTGCAGCGAAAGTTTCACTCACTTGCAGTCCCCTGCTTCTCCCCAGGCCGCCAGATGTCAGAGGACTTTTCCAACAGGCCCCAGCACAGACTCCGCACCTGGAGCACCCCCTCCACTTCCATGGCAAGTGCTGCCTTCCCATGGATTCTTTCAAGTCTGCCTCTGTCCTGAAATGCTGCATGGCTAGTATCCTTAGCACCTAATGGAAACCAAATCATCCCCAAAAACAAACACAAGAGGGTGGGAATCCCAGGAGCAGGACTACACACACTCAACACAGAGCAAACACAAAAGAAGTCCCCCTTTTACAACCTCATTCAGTTCTGTGCTATTGTATACCTCAAGTCTATTTGAAGAAAACACTTTAATAGAAAGCTTCCTACTTCAAACACCAACAAATTACTTTGATTCTACTTCAAGCTCTGTTTTTGGTTCTCCCACATTTTTGCCTTGATCCCTGATAAGAAACCAATATATCAGAGTGAATACCTGTTTGTGTCTATCGTCATTATCTTTATGAGATGGCATTAACCCTCTGCCCTTGGAGATAACAGAATCTGTTGTCCTCAGATCAAACAACTGAACCAGAACATCTGAGAATAGGGAAGTCTGTCCGTGCTCAGTGGTCTCTCCAGCTTTGCAAAACTAACCCTCCACCCATGCCCAAAGGCCTTCAAAAGTGATTTTAGTTGCTCTTATTCATCTGCAGAGGAAAAGTGGCAAACCCCAGAGCCATGACCATTCATCCCACCCCGTGATAACCCCGACCCTCGGAAAGCTAACATCTGTGTTGTGTTTGAGGTGGCCGATAGCCAACTGCAGATCAGAAAACAACAATTTCCCTGGTCAGATGTAAACCTTGCCTAGCATGTTGACTTTCTAAACCACCCTGTAAGCACAGTAAATTTAAATGGTAGATAGGGTTGTCTTTCCTTGGCTCATTTTCCACCAATTAATATTACCAGCATGAATGCCGTAGGATCAGGCAGACTCTGACAAGGCTCTGTCTAGACAGAGAAGCCAGAAAAGGGCTTTTTCCTTTTTATATTTTTGCAGAATGAGGCACTAATGTGCTACTCATGACTGGAGCAAATGTTTACATAAATCCATACTGGGAAAGGAAATACTGCCCTCAAACACTTCCAGGGGAGAGACTTTAGACAGGATTAGTTCAGCCACCATCTCAGTTCATTCCCTGTGAGCTTCACAGTCTTGAAAGCCAGCAAGAGGGAGGGCACTACCATGTGTAAGAAATAGGCGTAGCAAGATTATAAATCAGCACTTTCGACAGGCTGGTTCCCACTAGCTTTGCTAACTAAGACGAAGGCTGAATTTATGATGGTGGAGAGAAACTGACGTGGTCACCAGTGTTGCAAATGAATCTGAATCCCCAAGCGCTATATGAAAAATTAGAACGGGTACTTTTAAAAATCACTTTGAATAAGTACAGTGTACAATGTAAAAATACGTTACCCAAAATCTAAGAATCTTATTGTTCTCTAAGAAGAATTTTTTTTAAATGGGCTCTTCCAAAAAGAAAAAGAAAAACAACACTTTAAGTCTTAAGATGCAAATAAAACCAGCAAGCTAACTTGCCCCTCAACCACCTATCTTGCTTGCAAATTCCTCCCACTCCTTTTCCATGTTTGCTTATACTGACTGAATAAACTGGGAGAGTCAATTTGCCAGGGAAGACTAAAGTCATAAGGTTTTGGTTAAGTAACCCCAAAGCCATCACTGATTTTTAACTTTATGAATCCATTCATAAGACCTAACCAAGTCTTACGGGTCACAAAGACTTAACCAAGTCAATACTTAGCATATTATAAGAACTCTCCTAAGCAATAGCGGAGGATTCGGAAATACTATAAAATGTGTTTCCTGCTCTTCAGGAGTTTACAATCAGATTATCCACATGAAAGATTACAGTTCTAGGAAAATGGAAATGGTGCAGGTATTTTCCTGGTAGTTTCCAGGGTGGGGAGATTTGAACAGATGAACGAACAGTATACATTTCCTTTTTTCTTCTTCTTCTTTTTTTGACACAGGGTCTCACTATGTAGCCCAGGGTGGACCATTCATAGCATCCAGGTCACAAAAAGAGTCTCGAGACTCAAACTGGGCAGATCTAAGTCCTTCCCTTGGATGTTTTTGATATGGAACTTCTCAGATGGAAAGACTGGGGTACATGGAGGGAACTGGCCCAGGAACACAGAGACAACATACTAGAGATGCAGAGATTCATATCGAATTGGGTCTGTTGAAATGGCCCAGGGACCACCTACCACATTCAGCAAGGCAACTTCCTGTCACTGCTTTCTAACTCCAGGGCCCTCCTGGGATGTCACTTGTTCCTTCTCTTCTGCACACACAAATATTCATATACCATTCACACACTTGGATGTGATCGTTTACAAACACATTCTAATCTCACTCACTCATGTCACCAAAGCCTCAGCTGGACCCTATTCTCCTGCCTGCCTGTCTGCCAGCCACATCTGCTGTACCTCCATCCCTCTTTCTTCAGTCCCTTATAACTCAGACCCCCTGGTACCCAGGAGGACACTTCGAGAAGCATAGACAGGAGGACTCTCTAAGAGTCCATCAACTCTCACCACTGCATGATAGCACTGACTATTACTCCTTTGCACATTCTGTTTCTCTTTGGGCTGTAAAAGGGGCAGATTTTGGAAGTGATCTCCTCTCCCCATCCTGCAGTTACATAAAACAGAAAATGGGCAGTACATGAACCTCAACCAAGAATAGTGTTTTTTCAGCTGCTTTTCTTTAATCTTGGGATTCCTGAATGGAAATGGATGGGAGGGAGCATAATTAGGTTTGATGCTTGAGAAATTGATTCCTAATAGTTTGTGAGGTTTAGGGTATTTGTCATTTCACTCATTATTCAAAGGTTTCTTCATGGTTTCCCCCACAAATAAAAGGGCTCTTGGGAAGCAAATCTGTTTGAAATTATTTAACTCAAAGATTGACACTGTAAAATTAGAAAGAAAGAGGTCAGATAACCCCTCGTGGAAAAGGGATCAATGGATTTCCAGAGCAAAGTCTGTTCCAGCATCGCATAGAGGTTTTCACATGACCACAGACACTGAAGAGACAAAAACAATCTTTTTAAAAAGAATAATTTTCCTTACAGGAAAGACAGACCCAAGTTTCATCCACATGACTTTTTTTCTTTCGTTGTCTGGACCCTTGGCTACTAACATGGCATCTACATTAATACAGATGCCGTGGAGTTTGGAATCTCCATTAATGTTACATAGCCTTGTCACCCAGGCTAGGACCCACCTGCTATTTTGGAATGATAAATTCATCTGTCTCCACAGAGGCTTCGGAGGTCTTCCTTCACTGGGAGTAGCATACTTCCTGCCATCCATGTGATGTGACTGTCGTGAGTGCTTCACTGCTCTGTCTCTCTCCTGACATTATCACCTGGTAAAAATGGATTCAGTAAAACTCTGGAATGACTAGGGTAATATCACTTTCTCCATAGATCTTACTTCTTGGCAGCTGTGAGTAACCCTACAGTGCAAGCAGGCGTGAGGCCAACAGAGAAGAACAGGTGGCCATTCTGCAGATGCACCGTGAAATGTGGGCCCCTCTGGGTGAGGCGGCTACAGGCAGAAATGCCTGTCCTCCAGCACCTATCCACTCCAACAAGTTTATTTTATCCTTCACTTGGAAGATGCATGGGTTGAAACCATTGGGTTTTTTTTTAATCATCTTTATGGTTCAGATCTAAAACGGTCCCTCCACAACCCCTTGTGTTTGGAAGTTGATTGGATTAGGAGTGGTGTATCTGGTTTGCCACTGGAAATCAGGGTTTGGTCAGAGGAGAGGGGTCTCCAGAGCATGACCTGCAAGGGTGCTTCTCCCTCCCCAGCTCCTCCCTTCACTCTCTGCTTTCTGACCGCCAAGACATGAGCAGCTCTCCACTGGTATGCACTACTGCCATGCCGTCCTTCTCTGGAACCCACAGACCATGGACTGAACCCTCTCTAAGCTGTGAGCCAAGTAAACCTCTTCTGCTTTAATGCGTAGGTATTAGGTGCTTTGTCTCAGGAATGAGAAAGTGACTAAGGCAATCATTTTATTTAAAAATATACAATTTGTCATCCTCCTTAGTTTTAAGAACCAAAGTCTTCAAGGAAGCTAGACCACATGTCTTCCAAAGCGTCCTTCAGATGTAAAATTCAAGCCAAGGTACAATGAAGGGGTAAATTTCTATGTGGTACGAAACACTCCAATAAGAATTCAGAAGAGGGGAGCAAAGAACAAGCAAATGTAGGTTACAGGATATACTCTTACAAAAAGTACTTAAGTAAACCTGAAGTTAAGTCCAACTCAGTGTTGTGCATTTTCGCTTGCTAATGCTGGTAAACCTATCTAAATGGGGAAAAAATGAAACTCTTAAGAGTATATTTAAAAAAAAGAAGAGGGACCCAGCCACGTGACAAGCTTCGTAGAGTGTGATCACACGTATGGACCCCAGGGCTTTGGGTTCTCCTTCTGAAAACACTGTAACCTGACATATTCATTCTCCACAGAGGTAGATGTGGCTGGGTGGCCAGTGCTGACCAAAATCTCTTCAATAAATGTACATGAGCACTTTGGGGCTTGAGCATTTAATTGCCAGTGTCCAACATCCTATGCTCTCTTCCCTTGATATGACAACTAGCAGCATCCCATGGAAAGGAACATTGCCAGCCAGGACCCTGGAGTGAAGATGCTGGGCTGTGGAGCCCTGCACTGAGGTAAGATGAGCACGGAGGGCCTGAAGAAACAAACCTTTGTTGCTTTCAATCCATACCACTCCAGCTGCTGCTGTGGCCAAACCTCAGTTCTCCTGACTGATCAAACACGGCTCTGTGGAGAAGGTGAAATCTGTTCATACAGAGGAGAGAAGAGAGGAAGGCGCTGGGAGATCCGAGAAATGCGCTCCAGTCCAGAGATCTGCAACACTGTAAGAGCAAATAAATAAAGACTATTCAGGGCTGGGCCTCAGGCACCAGTGATTTTCACAAGTTTCTCAGGTGATTCTAAAACACTGTATGCTCAGGGCTGAGAAATGGTGGTCTGAACGATAGAAATGAAAGCAGAATAAAAGTGAACACATAGCTTTGAAAAAAGGACAAGGAATCATGTGGTTCCCACGTGGTTCAAAGGTCCTGGATGGAGCCTCCGGGTAATCTCAACAAGGAAAATCTTGTTAAAATTTTGTCCTACCAAAAAAGAAAAATGTCCTGAAGTGGCCAATCAACAAATTACAACTGCCATTTCTGTGTTAGATTTTCAGAAAACAATTTTGAACAATGAAGAATACTTCAAAAGTCACACAGAGTTCACTGCTTGATGCAAATTTTAATCCACCACGTTAACATGTCCATTTGTAACTGTGTTACAGATTACTAATTATATGAATAACTAGTGCTGACAAGGTATTTACTATGAGCAAGGCTTTGTGCTAAGTAATTTGCAACCTTGATCTCTCAGTCTCTACAACATCATTCAACAGTTGCAACTATTATCCGTATATTCAAGAAGCTCACGAAGAAGAAGTAAAGGTACCAAGGATATGTAATGTTAAGACAGATTTAGAAAAGAATCTGGGTTTTCTAAGTCTAAAACCCATTCCTTTGCAACTACTACATCAAACTGATTCTCTGAAATTTCTTTCCATGTCATCGTCATTTTACCAAATAACTTTAACATAATAAAGAATGTTCTAATTTAAAGCAAAAAGACATTTGATGAAAAACAACAAATGTACTCGTCAAGAAATGCTGTTCTTCATGAGAAATAAGCATCATATCCAAAGCATCACCATTTTTATATATATATAAAAAAGAATTTGCAGAAAACGAAAAAATTCTCCCTCCCCCCAACAGTGACAACGTGCCAGTTTGAAGTCATTCACAAACATCCCAAATCAAAGTCAGCTTTTTACACACTTAGAGTGGCATAAGTCAATTTACAGATAACATTCACCAATTTCACAGTGGAAAGATAACTTCCAAATTGAAAAATTTGCAGTATTTTGATTTGGAGGCTATTTGGTTTTAAATACAATTGGGAAACTCTTGATTCAAGGTGGCAAGTGTTTTTTGTTGTTTTTTTTTAAGAAAAACTGCCAAATTGCCCTGATATCAAAAGAGCCCTTCATAAAATATAACCTGGATATCCAGTATACCTGTAGAGTTGTGCACTTCTTTGGTGTTAGATAAATCTTGCAAGAAATCAGGATGTGCCAATGGTCTTGGGGTGCAGAACTCTAGAGATGTCTAAGTGGTACCGGGAAAGGTCATATGTCCTTTTCCAGGAATAAACTGGCATAATAACCAATTTACCATAAGCTTACAGGCTTAAAGGATAAGAAGGACAATCATAAACAGTAATTCACCTCAGTTCTTCACAGGTCTGCCACCAATGTTGAACCGAACCGGTATATGTGTAACCCATAAATCCAGGGACCTGGTGGCCCAAGCTTAGAGCAAGACTGCATTCAAGAAAATGAAGGACAAATAAATACCCAAGCCATTTTAAAAGTAACACATACGCCACATGCCACAACCAAGGAGGCACTTTGATGTGCTTGCATAGTTTGACACGATCTTACATTCAGTCTCCCTGCCTTTTGCTAAAGGTCCAAGCCCTGAGTTGTCCTGGGGTTCACCCAGAGCCTGGACAGAAGCCCCTGCAGCTGAGCACAGACCTTTGAATGAGAGCCTGTCTGGTCCTGTGCAGACACTGAGAGTCGGTGCTGTTTGTTACACAGCATACCGCAGCAGCATCTGACATGCAGTGTGACTTTTCTCCTTCTGTCCCTCACTCATCCACAATAAGTAAGAACCCTGCCTCTTAGGGGATGAGGGAGGAGATAAACTGGAAGAGGCTCTACAAAATTAACTCAGCCAGGAAAAAGAAAAGATATTAACAAGGTAATGCTGGGAGAAGCCACATCATGATGCATTAAAGAAAGCAGCTTCTGAGACTGAGATGTGAAGTAAACGTGAGAATGAGTATGTTCTGAAGCAAAGGTGGCATCGTCTACAGTCCAACTGGAGGGCTGTAATCATCTTCAATAAAAAGACTAGCCACCTCAGCTTACTCGCAAAGAAACAAAGGCCATTTGGGCCCAATATAAGAAATCATACTGACAGGAATGTAAGCGAGACACACTGCAAGTGCTGGTCTGCCTGCTCAACTGCACTTTCCCCTTATTGGCCTGAGAGCCCCACAGCCCATGGCTATGGCCTGAGAAATAAATATTGGTCTTATCTCCTCGGTGAAACCTGATCCATAATTTAGAGTTTGTTCTTTGTTAATTAGGCCAATACTGTGTGTTTGTCACACCGGTTGCTTTTGTAGTTCCATCCCACTGTGTGGCAGATCAAGGACAGGTACCCCATTACTACTGACTTTGTCCTGTGAGAAGTCTTAGTCTTGGCACACGTGGTTGCTTGCCAAATATCTGGTGATGGTGTTGTAATAACGCCCTGACCTGAGGTGACCAACGGGGGTGACCAGAAATCGGGAGCATCTCTGTCTCCCACCTGCAGCCCCATGGTGTCCCTGTCCCCAGTGCAGTGTCATGGCCTTTCACGCACACTGACACTTTCATCAGGCCCAACATTAAGCCTGGGTTTTTCTCAGGCTCCTGAAGCTCAGAGTCACTGTGGGCACAGGGTAAGGAAGCCTTAAGAAAGCATAAAACCCTCAGTCTTCCCTTTGCTGCTGTGTGCCATGCTAAGGCCACCAAAGAACTGACACAATAAGAAAAAATAATTAAACCATGTGCTTATTTTTTCAAACACCACTGCTGCTGTCTAAAGGAGCGCTGTATAAATGCTTTTTCTTTGTTTTTTCTCTTAGTTCTTTCTTTTTCAAAAGCCACTTTTTTCTAACAAATTAATGTCACAAGTCTGCTGTCACCCTCTTTACAAGAACCAGTGTGGACAAAGCCATTGTAACGCACTGAAGAGGCAACTGCAAGGGGTGCATGCTGACACTGCTGGCCTGCCTCTGACCAAGATTTACAGCCGTAAACCTGCAGACCTCTGCCTCGCGTATGCAAATGTGAGCCAATTAGTGACTCACTTGCAGCTTCTAATTAAAAGGCCTGCATGATGGATTGCCACGAAATGGGCAGACAGGGACCTGGCCAGGCAGCACATCTATTCCCACACAAAGGACAGCCCAAGGAGAGAATCTGGGAAGACCAGCTCCCTAAAGAGCCATCAGAATTTTTTATCTACTAATTTGGAAGAAAAAATAAGTGGTGTGGGAAAATGTAATTATAATGCAACTAGGAAACAAAAACAGGCAAACAAACCACACATTGGTGCATCATTAAAGAAGAAAATAACCATTTTGGGGTAATTTCCCCATGGAATTCAGAACAAAAAAGGAGGAGGAGGAGGAGGAGGAGGAAGAAGAAGCAGAAGAAAAAGAAGAAGAAGAAGAAGAGGAGGAGGAGGAAGAAGAGGAGGAAGAAGAAGGAGGAGAATTGGAGAAAGGTTTGGAAGAAACCACATGTGATTCTTTCCCCTCCAATTACAACAAATTTCCACAGTTTTCAGCTCAGCAAAATGCCCTGAACCAAAGCTTGGCAAATAGCAGAGGATAAAGTTGTTAATAAAATAAAAAATGTGAGTCCAAGACATTCAGACAGAGCTAGGTTGAATAGGTTCTCAAATTACTTAGACTAAGTTTGGAGATACTTGTTCAATTTCTGACTTTGAAGTTCAGCTAAAACAATCTAATTAAAATTCAGATTCAAAAGAAAAGAAAAGAAAAGCTCTGCTTCTCCCAGCCCTCCAAGGACAGACCTATAGGTCTCCACTGAGCCTGTATGCGGGGCTGGGGCTCTTCCTTCTGTCAGCCCCTCTGGCTGACATCAGTTACCTCACCATGGCTGTGGCCACAGCACTCTAAGATCTTCTGTCCCTCAAACCCACACCTCTTCATGATCCTCATCCCTCAACCCAGAGGACAACCATGGCACCAGTGGCTTGGACCACGAGCCAAGCCTGTGGCCACGCAGCCCTGGCCTTCAAAGGGCTGCCGAGTGCAGATTCTTGTTTGGTTAGGAGCATTTTTTCCCAGGCAGCCCCAGCACATTTAGTGAGAGCAAACGTCACCCCCCACAACCCAAATGGCCTTCTGCAGGCACATGACATCCCTGAGGACCTTGGGAGGTGTCCAGAAAAAAAGACTCCTCATTAAGGGACCTCAGAGGAGCAACAACAGGTGGGCCATGTCAGCGCGGTACAGCACTGTCTGGAAGATCTCATAGATGCTCATTAGGTTTACCTCATCAGTAAACACTGCTGCCTTGGGAAAAAATGGAAATAAATAAATAATAAATAAATAAATAAGCTGGCTAGCTTTGGCCAAGGGGTCCAGCAACACCAGACACAGCTCGCATAGTGACACCACCCTGAACCTCTTCCCTCCACTTTGTCATGTTAAAAGTGTGCTCTACATTACCTTCACCCTATTATTTGCATGTACAATAAAAACATGCCAGATCTTCCTACACAGAAAGTATTAAACGTTCGCTTAGTGCCTATGACATGCCCAGTGTATCCCCATGAACCTTTTCTCCACCCAGGTGAGGCTGTGCCTTGCCCTACGTCTCTAAGCTGCCAAGCAGTGGGGAGACATTCTAGCTACAAGCCTGGCTCTTCCCACTCCATCGCATCCACAGACCACCATTCAGAGGGTCTACTTTCCCTCCACGTTTTGTCTTCTGCTACGTTTTATTTGAATCTGGTCTCTCTTTCCTTGTCTGTTGTTATTTACTTATTCATGCATTCATTAAAGTCATGTTTTTGTGGCTTTTACCTATTCATTCCTGCTTTCCTTATGCTTGCATTTTCTGTATATTCCCCAATCCTTGACAATTCTTTCTTTCTACCCTTGATTCGTCCCCGCCGCCCCCCTCCTTTT